AACACTACTACATTGCAATACTATCGTTCGTCATTTTATTCGATTACCATCACTGAATCCGACTGATTACACGTTGTCGGTTTTATTTTTGCAGTGTTGATTTAATATGACTACGATCACATTGGGACAACAATTCGAATGGTATGATTACTTGGGACCATTTGTTTTGGCTTCTTGTGCTTACACAATCTTTTCGGCTATCTTTCTGGCGATAACTTGGTGTTGCTTCCGTGATCGAATCGGCAAGAAGCAGCGATATTCATATGCGGAAAAGGTTCGTTCCATTCAAAAAGTCGTTTGATTGTTGATTTTAAAACTTCCATCAAAAACGTATTTGTTCATCCTTTGTAAAGCTCGAGCTCTTGTCGACAAATCTTTTCCGCGAATTATTCTGTCATAAATGTTCAGAACTGAATTCTCGACAAAATTTTCCAAGTTTGTCGGCAGTGTTCCATTGAGTCCATCGATTACCCCTCAACATTTCACTCGTTATTAAGTTTAAATTCCAGCTGAATGGCCAAGTGTGATGTATCTTTTCACAATGTCATCATCAATAGTTCATCTATTGGAATGAATAAATTGATCGGTGAAGATTTTCGGTGACTGTTTTCAATTTGCCTGGTTCAGTGACTACTGAACGAATCACTTATCGGTAATCTACTTCACTAAAGATCATCGCATTGTTTTGTATCGTGTTATCCACATAATTTCTGTACAATTGTGTCGCAATCTTTCTATTAAACCGTGTGTTTGTTTCGATATTTCTACTAGTTCATTTCAGTATTTAGCTGGAACCATGCGAAATTATTTCGAATGCGAAAAATCCTCTAATTGAACCAAATCCCCATTCAATTGATTTGGATACTAATTAGCTATGCACTGTGAAGTAGCCGTCAGCAAAACTGCTTTAAACTTTTTACATGGATTTGATGAAACAATTGCAGTTGAATGATTTAACAAAGAATGCAAATGACTTATCAAGAATGCAATTACTGCACCCACTTACACTTTGATTGTGGTTTTTTTTTTGAATTTTTCAGAAACTTTTCTTTTCATTTGTATATGGTATGATGTGATCGTTAATGNTGCTTTAACGATGTTATTCACTCACTTATCACGTTCATTCCCGTTTTGTATGTGCATTTTCACTTTGTTGTTGAATTACTGTTTTAATTTGCTAGTTTGTCGTCACAAATTTGTGTATTCAATCCATTGGTGTGTATTTTCGCATCATCTCGTATTAGTGCTCTGCTATGTTCATTCGTTCAGGTGTATTTTTCAAACTGCTGATATTTCAGATGTTGTTTTGTATGCTTCAAAAGAAATTTAAAAAAAACTGCTGCTTCACTGCATGAATGAGGCGTTTTGGCAGATGACGTATAATGGTTCAGTGCGCCATCAAAAGCTGAGTAATATTCCTGGCTTTTGGGATTAATTAAAAATGAAATGGTTTCATATGTGAATGCTGCTGATGTTAGATTATTATGCCTGATCATTGTGTGGAAAGAAAATGCTTGCATAGAATTACACTTGAATTGATAACAGCGAATATGAATGAATATGTACAGAACTGAGTGAATGAAAAAGAAAACATAATTACAATATGACGTGTAACGACAATCATATCTATGGCCACGAAACCATTTTTAGCACTTGATCAATATTTTGATTTTCGATTTTTAGGCTATGGAATGGTCAAAAACTTCGAATCTCTCACTTTTTTTCTGATTTTTTGACGTCAATGAAACTGATCCGTCAGTCGTAAACGATTTGTTCTGGTGTTTAAAAATCGAAAGTTCACATCAGAGAAGTGGATGAGTTTCGTGTGATAATTGGGTTAATGAACCACCGAAAATATTCGGATGCATTCAAAAATTACGTAAAATTTTTTGGAACATTTCCGTGGAAAATCCATCCGAGAAATCATAATAAATTAAGTAGCAGATGCGAGGTGTTGAGCTTAAATTAGCGAAAACAACAAATCACTGGTAGCGAAGAAATCTTGCGGTTTGAATGGAAATCCACAGCGCACATGGAAACTAATCGTCGAGTTGAGACATTCACCACTCCGCCACAAATACATATCGTCACCAGCTTTAGTGACACCGTAATTGAAGAACTGATTACATTTGTGATTATTGGTCGGGATTTTTGCCAATATATCATTATCGTCTGCGCCTTGACACATCAACGGACACAGATTTCGGATGTTCTGTAAATTTTGAGTGAACTGGATTGCTTCAGAGTCATGCATAACAAACTAAACACAACATCTTGTCAAAATATCTTGTGATCCTGGTGGCGTACTTGATTATGAGTTTGTTCACTCTGATTGAGAATGCACTGAAATGAATGGAACGAAGATAAAATTGGGACTGTTAGTGGCTGTTGTGTTACACTATCGAATGTTGCGGTGTAGTTGATTAGTGTTCTATGATGGAATTTAGGAATGCGCTCAGGTTAAATGTTATATCGGAAAACACGAAACAGTGAAATTCAAAAATAAAATGTATCATCTATTTCATCAATTCTCACTTCTTACAATTAGAAAGCATTTGTTTCAATTCAGTTTTTGTCCCATAAGAAATTCATTAAGTTTGGAATGGTTTCAAACTGTCAACAAATTTATGNATAACGTTTGCATTACAAATAAAACGCTATCAGTGAATCAGTCGATCAATCGAGTTGACAATACGAATAACTGACTGACGAATGAACTTACTCGGACTGCAGGAACGAACTCATCGAAGCATCCATCACCAAAATCTGTATTTTTCATATTAGTACGAAGTGCACACTCAGTCATATCTTTCTTGTCCTCAGAACGTGCACATTCAACGCTACGCTTCTCTTGAAATCAGTTCACAATCACACAATTATCTTCCCGTGTTTCATAAGTAACATCAGTATAGTTCATGAGCACTCAAAATTTCCACATCACAAACTTTCAATCAGCTACATTTATGAATTGCACCGTAAGCGCATATCGATAGCGGTAGCATTATTTGTCCAGAACAGAAATTTTGAATTATCATCATTGAAGTGATTAGTTTCATGAAAATGGTTTGAACAATTCTGGTGATTGTGCATTGAGTGTAAATGATAGTAATCATTTGCTAGCATTCGATTAAATGAGAAAACTTATGTAAGATATCTGATAAAGTTGGTGTAACTTACGCCAGTGATAGGTAACTGTCTTATAATCGTCCTTAAGTGGATATGCAACAGTGCAAACGGTACAAACGACTAATAAAAGTGCGTAACGCATTATTTTGACGCTGAAAAAGAATCATTTCACACATTCTTAGTCAATTTTTTCAAAGTGACCAACGTTCAACATTATCAATTTTTAGCGAAAAACAGATCTACTGAAAAAAAAAGCTGCAGTGAAATTCTTTCGAAAAGTGCTAGCTCGTTGGAATTTGGAAGATCAACGATAATTGCGAAGGTTAATCAAGATGATAGCAAAGAAAACATGCCGATGACACTATACATCAATTAAGATGAGCGGACAATTTTATAGACGAGATAACGCGATCGTTTTGACGGATGAGCTGAGCCGGTTTTACGGAATATCAGTGTCGCACTTGACCCGACCGAACAGATCCACCCTAAACCGCCACTGAATGGCAGACGGTTTACAAATCGATGATTTATGGCTGTTACATCCGCAGTGGTTACATCCGTGGTGGTGGTCATGCTCTGCAATCAGATTCACACGTCTATTCGGACGACGGAATCAGATTCACACTCTTGTTGATGGTGAAATAAGATTGTTCAGGTGCTGAATGCTCTTTCACAATAATCTCCTTGGATAGCCTTTCGAGCCTTTCGAGGAGGTCGAGATCAAATCCAGAATCACATAAGAACTTTGAAACAACTCCATCTCAATTACCTCTAAACGTAGTGAATTTATACGGTGATGCGAAGATCATTTCAATGATTGGTTGAAACGCATTGTCGACAGACAAGATCGTATCACAAGCAATGATTTTTGTTAATGTCCTCAACCCCGTTCTTTTATAAATGTGAGCAACTTCACTGAGGTTGATGTGATTGAGTGACGAAGTATCATGTTCCGTTTTCCATTTCAAATAATAGAATGGCAAACAGACGTGCGTATTAGAAGCCACAATCGGATGTTGATGGACGTATCATCTTCTAATTGCCCGAGGCGAAAACGAATGCACACTAGGAGGAGTGGTCAAAGGTTGATAATTTCAACAAGAAAGGCGCATTCCAACAAAATTGATCATCTCTAAGAGATCGCCAAGCAAAATGATAGCCAATAAATGGACAACATAACAGTGCATTCGATGATCCGTAATTGAGGAATGCGCGAAAAAAATTTCCGTTCAAAACAATGAATACATAGGAAACGAGGTGAACGAATGATGAATGTAAAAACAAGTGAATTGCGATGTAAAACTGACGATATTTCAGTTGAATCAATTCATTATAATTACGAGGAAGTCTTTCAGTGGGTTCATCATCGCTGGTGCCATAAATCAATTTTGAGCTGTAGCGGCGGATGCAACCGTCAAATGCAAATCGATGAAAGTAGAAAGGAATGAAATCTAGAGATTTGTTGTTATCATATCGAAACGATGTGTTCTTGACGATGCACCTATTGGAATAAGCTCCTTGGAAGGATAATGATTACAATCGCGAGCGTCCGAAAAACCACTGATAACTATCAGCGGGTCTCATTATAACGCTGTTATTATGATAAATGAATTTTACCTATAATATTGCAAATTATTACATATTGGTTAATTTTTAAGGCGAATGATTCAGAAATGAGGTGTCTTTTTGGAGACAACTATCGAATTTCGGTGTGTAAGAGCAAATACGCTCTAGACCGCATTGCTCGTTGATATGTGTTAGATTGTGGAATATGCCTAGCGATGAAAAATTTGGATTAGATGACTTGAAGTGATTGCGAAGCGATTTCGTTCCAAAATGATTGGTTCGATAACATTGATTGCACGACCGAAGCCGTTTTCTTCATATAATCCCGTTGGAAGACACGAGTGAATATTTTGAGAATGATTTTACTTGGTAATTTTTGTTGGTATAATGATAGTCAATGCAACACATGAAGGAAAATGCGAGGTGAAACAGCGAAATTAAAGTTTATTTGGAGAACATGAATACAATTTAAGTCCATAAAACAGTGAATATAGACCTACTCGTACCTAACGATCGGTGCTGTGGAGGAGTTTTGAAGGGAACAAAAATGAAATCACGCAAACATTTATCAAGAACCTGAAAAGTAATGATAGAGCGGAAAAAGAAAAATTGCAGCAATCAAATGGGATCTAAAACATGTGATCGTGAGTGCTTCTCGAAAAAAATCACTTTATGCAAATCAAAATAATTACATCTGACGAGAGTGCGTCGAGCAAAATCATTCTATTGTCGAGATCATTTATTGTTAGTAATTGAATTTTGTGCATGCTATGAGTTAGGGCATCAGCAATGAATTGCACTTTTTAAGTTGCTGTTAGAATGAGAAATGTTCTCGTGAAGAAATTAATGTTACGAACATTACGACAGGTCCACCTATTTACCACTGAAAGTGAATTGCTTAAGTGCTCGTAAACAGATTCAACAACAAATAGAATTCGAAAGCTTTGAATGATTCATATGAAAGCGATTGAATGAAAATACTCGATCTCAAGGAGCACGCGATAAGTGTGAGTCGATTATCAACGCGAATGAAAGAATCGAATCAGAAATATTTACAATTAGCAAATAATAATTAACATCTTCCAAAACCAAAAATGAAATTCTAGACTATGGAACATTCCGTTTTTAGAAGAGAAACCTATTTCACATGCAAATTACAGACCGGAAGAAGATGAAATTCTTGCCAATTTTAAACTAAATATGGATAATTTATGATCAAGAATAAACTGACATGAAATTCTCTCTCTCTCTGTCTCAAAAAAAACTGAGTTCTTTGCCAGCAAAATCAAGCGCTGAATAGAGGTAGCAATATGATCGCGATAACCCCAGATGATTTGTCGGTTCTCCATTAAAGTTTCAATTATTTGCGAAGAATCTGACTAGTTTTTACAATGGATACACTTGAAATATTGTGCGATTTTCAGCTTTAAAACAAGCAACTGAGATCATCGGCTATGAATGATTTTGAGATCAGCACCATCATTATTATTATTTTAATAATGAGGTGGTCTTTTAAAGAACGTATCTGAGCGATATGAAGAGATACTTTACACATGAAACGATTTTCACTCATAAAATTCACATGAACATAGTGAAAAAGCTCTTTCAGATGGAGCATACGCTATGGTGTAAAATTGGAATAAAACAAGGTTTTGATCGAATTCATCATCACAAAACAGTACTCTGAACATTGAACGGATAAACGAAATGCCCATTATGAATATAAGTTTCGATTGAACTTGTGTGGATCGCTGGAATAGCGTCGAGTGAATTCGAAACAAACGAAGTGATACTCTACCAAAATCCATCCAAATTCAACACATCAGTGACTGCGCTTCAGCATTTTTCGAGAACGATGCTGATAGACCACTAAAACTGTGCTTGCTCAGCCTTGTCGACTCAGTATCTGGATCACTTGATTGAGCTGAAAAGTATACTTGAATTTTGGATAAGTTTTTCAGTTCAATCACACATTCTTTTTCAGTGAGAAAATGCGAAAACTTTAGTATGAAGAGAAAAAAGCATCGTTATTTTACGAGCTGGAAAATACAGAATCCCTCTCTGCGTTCAGTACCCTCTGATTCGTTATGAATGAACCGTAGGTTTTTTGAGGCATCGATTCAATCGACTCAAAACGTGAATTGGCAATGAGAATTTAATAATTCAAGATTCAGCGCACAAAAAAGATACCATTTCGTTTTCGATTGATTGATAAGAGTCTCGCAACTATGCAGCTATTTAGGTTTTTCTACGAATAGTACCAAAATTCAAAGGGAATAAGGGCGTTTTATTTCGACTTTATTCAATAAATGGATGATGTCAGAATTTAATCAGCTCGAACCTTCGTAAAAAAGTTAGTTCTCATCTGAGCTAAGCCACTTTTTAATTATCATTTCGTCATGAACCAGCGATTTTCCACGGAAAACATGCACATATGTAATTTTCTTGATGGAATCGATAACGTCAAAAGACCATTTTATCGTTTTTAGTTGCCTTTCGCAACGAATTACTCATCAACTGTAATTTCCACATGAAAATCATTGAAGATAACGAAATTTTGATGCTTTTACTGATTGAAAATATCCGTTGCTCTGCACTGTATTATTGATAAACGATATTTATGGATTTTGCGTGGTGAATTGATCGAATGAAGAGATCGTATTAATTTTTGATTATAGCAAAAAATGTGGCCAGGAATTGTGAAATATCATTGTTAAAAAGCGTTGCTAAAAAAATGGTGGAAGAGGGTGTTCAGTTTTGCAAATTTTCATCTCCCATGTGGTGTCATTAATATGATTAGCGGCTAAGAAAATGATTTCTATGCTCGAGCTGTTGATCGTGGACAGAATGGGAATAATTAAGTGCTTTTTTATGATTCGTTTTATAGCTCGATGATGACCAGGATAACACGACAGCTAGCCACTGCTCTGTGATGGATTACGAGCATACTCTCCATCCGACTGATTCGCAGAACGATTCTTTTTCAAGAAAAAAAACAACAACAACGACTATGTGTTGACGATGAACACAATGTAATACAATAAGTAACGGTAATACAATAATTAACGGTAATAAGACATAAACAGGAGTTGTATAATTCGCAACGTTCACATACCATTGAATGAGCGAGTTCTCCTAGCCGTACATCGATACCGACCTTCGAAAGTGTTTCCGAACAGCGAAATTGTGGAGTCGAATTTGCTCGAACATTCTTGCATTGGGACGGATGGGCATTGAGTTGAGCATTGATGCGTTTGTGAGTGTGTTTGTTGCTGTTGGGGATATGCAGTTGCAGGTGAGCATGGCTGAAATGAAACTTTATTAAAAAATTACATTCGGTTCTTTTTTGAACACTGAATGCGATCAATAATGGCTTTTTGATACGACGTCAATCCAGGATGTTTTCACTGAGGAAGAGGCGAGCTGAGTCATACTAAATACTGATTTTGAATTTTGCCATCATTTGCATGAATTCAACGAACACACTTCATAACAAACAAATCACAAAATGTAATTAATCAACGATAAATTACATTTTGCGCAGCAATTCCGTTTGGCTCTAATGAATGTGATGCGTCAACGTTGAATCGCCTAACGTTCGATTCCTGATGAGTTACTTGAATGAAACATAACATCATGATTAGCATGAACAGCGTACAATTAAGCACTGATCAAATGTGATAGCAAATAGAGAAGTGGGCTGTTGACCTTTGAGGAATTTCGAAGTGTGGCAAAACGAATGAATGCAAGCACACTGGAACGAATGTGTGCTAAGCGCAGGGCATATATGAATGGGTTTATGGCCAATTTGATCATCACCTGAAATGGAACCATTATTACACTAATTCAGTGGTTCTCACGTTCGGGAACTCCATTACCCCTTTTGACGATCTAGCAGGCCGCCATTAACCCCCCTCCCCCCTGATGCAAGAAGTTATAGAGTGTATTTGATAGAATGAGAATTTGACTTTAATTGTTGAGCGAAGTGAATGAGAAATTAGCAAAAG